TGAGGGGGGGGGGGTATTATTATATGTATTATGTATAATCTGATGTTCTTTGTCGTTGGATTTACCTGAAAGTACGAGGTTGGTTGGGGGGGGGGAGTGTTAATATATGTATTGTAGATCGTCCTTCGCATATGAAGATGACTATGACTTCACAAATTGGTCTGTTGACAATGACTGTGGGGACCATGACGTCACAAACTGGTCTGTTGACAGTGAGTGTGGGTCCGGAGATTGCAAGTATCTAATATACCTTGCCGTTGGACTTACCAAGAAAAAAAAAACGAAAACAAACAAAACTTTTTGTATGAGCATTTTTTATTGTCTGAAAGAATGTTGCTGTCAAAAAGTGCGCACATGATGAATTTGTACGGTGTTAGTATGATTGCGTTTTTAATCTCCTATGTACGCCTTGGGCCCATGCTGTGGGGAAAGGAGGGATATAAATGCTCTTATAAAAAACCCAAAAAAAAAAACCTTTGCAGCACAAGTGGTTGGTGAAACGTGACGAACCTTCGCTGTGGGCGGTTGGTGGGTGCTCTGGTGTGGCTTGCTGCTTCATTCCTATCAAACATATTATCGTATTTATCTTTCCTCCTTATTTTTTTAAATGTTTGTTACTCTTTTGTAACGTCTCTAATCTTCTGGCGTTTATATGACCTTATGCAGTTGCAAGCGCCGTAAAACCGCTACAAAAAACAAAAAAAACGTACATGATCTAATTGTGTTGCAAGTGCCGTAAAACGCTTACTAAAACAAACGTACCTGACCTAATTGTGTTGCAAGTGCCGTAAAATGCTTACTAAAATAACACACACACGTACCTTCGCTCCACACGACGATGTTGATTGGCCCCGAGGAGGTCACGAGCAGGGCGTGGCCAGTGATGACGACACAGCCGAGGGGCATGGGCATGGAGACAGGGAGGTGATACCTGGACGCCGTGCCGTTCGCTAGTTGCAGCGTCTTGTCCACAACTTCGCCCTGGGAAGGATTTCCGCCCCTTATTTGGACCTAAGATGTTTGGGGCAGAACAAGTTTTACACCTCTTTTTTCGGGGGGGGGGTGTAATTTTGGGTGTTTTTGAACACCCCATCAACACAATTTAGATCATTTATTTAGGTGCAGGCCTCCAACTCAGTTTGTCAGGACTGGCCCCGGGCTAGGAGTGATGTAGCAACATTCCAGCAGAAAGACAGAGAGACTCGATAAAAAATCTCCTCACTCTTGAGGAACCCCTCTTCCCCCCCCCCCCCCCCCCCCCGGAAACCGCGATGCGGAGGTAAATTTCACAGGTGGCTCTAGATCAGACTCTGCTGTGGTCGCTGCCTCCCTGTCTTTCAACAGATCACACCAGAGGAGACTCCATCCCAAAGCCTCCATTTTCTCTGCGGAGGCCACTGCCATTTACATAGAATTGGACTCTGTAGAAAATTCCCCGAACATATCTTTCCTTATCCTATCAGACTCTCTGTCTTGCATCACCTCACTAAAAAAACTGCACACTCATACACCCAAAAATAGTTAGGTTACAACAAAAAATACACGCTTTGACTGAAACCAGAAAAATCGTGTTCGCATGGCTGCCAAACCATGTGGGTGGGCATCCGAGGAAACGAGCCGGTGGATCCTGGTGAAGCAATCCTTGTCCCTTCTGTTGTGATTAACGACGAACACTCTCCCACTGACTGACTTTAAAAATAAAGTTACAAAACTACACCTTCAGTCTGTGTGAGACACATTGAAAAAAAAACAATAAATAAACAATAAACTTCACAACATCCTGCCCAAACTGGGTACACGAAAAGTGACCATTTATCTATGAAATGTGAAATATCTTGGACAATCCACCTGGAAAGAAAAACGTGATTACAGTTTTAACAAATCATTATGAATTGGGCTAGCATTTTATAAAAATCATATACCAATACGCTATTGGACACTATCATCATGCACACCTTTTTCTTCTTATCAGATGGCCTCAGTTTGATAGAAATGGGCAAGGGACAAAAAAATAGACTTACAGTTATGGAGGCCGCAGTGGCGTCTTCTGGAGTGAGCGTTATAAAGCTCGCCGTGTTTGATTGATCGTTTTGTGGAAGTGCCAAAAAGAATTCTGTCCCAGCATGACCCTGTATTCCTGAAAACAAATATACAACATCATCATATTATTATCATCTATACATATGTGAGGCGTGCTGACAAAATGAGTTACTTTTTGCTATCAACAAATGGAGATATTAGTCAAAATCGACTCCAGTGTCAAATTTGTAGATTTTCTATTGATGCCATATTCGTTAAACTTAACATGCTTTTTGTTATTTTATACTTTAAAATTTTAAAAAGCTTCACCTATAAGCGAAGTGTATCTATTTCCATAAGGTTCGAATCCGAGAAGTAACTCGTTTTGTCAGCACGCTTCACATATTGTATTTGTGGAAGTTCGTCACTTTCGGGGCCTAAAACTTCCAAACCACTTAACTTTCGAATTTGACCAAATTGATAGTTGTTCAGAATCATTTAGAGGTGCACATTTTCATTAAGAAGCCTGAAGTCACTGTAGTTTAATTGTCCGGTTTTTTTCATTAGTTTCGTTTAGATTTATTCTTGGGAAAGTACATCTTCTAAGACGCAATTGTAAACAAATGAGGTTTCCGTTCACTAGCCGTGCGCCAGTACCGATTCCACGCTTTTGAAATTATGGAGTGTACAACCACGAAAGCGGAATAGAGAATCAATCTATACATCTATTACATGTATATAGTTGGCAACTTGGATACGCATATGTCACTTTTCTCTCAGGATTTTTGGGCTCCATTCCAGTAGAGTGTAAATATAGTAGGCCAATGACTTTCAGTTGATTTTGATGCACCCACCGATTATTCCTTTCATCGAAAAAGGGCTCAACAAGTTATGTCATATTACATATCGTCGATGTTACAGGAAATCCACTCAAATCCGTTTTGGCACTTTATTTTTTACATCAGAGAGTTTTGTGATTTTTTAAAAGTAGTTTAATTATATTGTCTTGTTCTTATCAGAAATCATGAAAAGCAACCAAAAAATGGTAAGCCTTGACCATAGCATCAAACAGCATTTATTTGGTGATGTTGAAAGGTGCAGTTTTGATAAAGCTTTGGGAAGGTGTTGAAATCAATCGAAAATTGTCAAAGTCTTTGACATCAACGATAATATTATAAAGGAGCAAACTTGTTTACATTTCGTGTGGCACCGATGGTCTCGTGGTATTGCTTTGGTTTAAATCCCAAACTGGTAGTTCTTGAACCTGGGTCGTTTTGTGGAGCTTTTAACTCCATGGGGACGCTCTGTTTTCCGGTACTTAAAAAATAGGTGCTTTACTTCGTTATTCACGCCAATTGTTTTTCCATTCTATTTTCATTATCTTCATAAATGTATTTCTTTATATTTTTATTAATCTTTTAAATAGTTTATTTTAATTTGTATTATTTTTGTTGGGAAAGGCAGGGGTAAAGAGGTGGTAAACTCAAAAGCTTTTATGTCCTTTAAAAAATGCAATTTTATGTCAATGTTGTTGCAAAGCGTTTACCAAGCACACAAAAATATTTAAAGGTACGGACGGTAGAGATTCTCCAGCTTTAATGGTCACCAAACTCTGGCAGCGGTTTTCTCACTCCTTTTTTTTCTCTCCCACCTGGCAATCCCGCCAATTCACAGTATCAGGTATTGATTTTAACAATTTCTATTTTGATTTATAAAAAGGAAAAAAAACCCAACCAATATGTTTTGTTGGAGGTAGCCAAAAGTTCAAAGACCTGCTCAGATCAAGTGGTTTGAAGGGGTTCCACAATAGCGGAGAGGTTCATAAACTTGATCTCTCCTGTGGGAGATTGAGGTTCGCATCATTAACTCCTTGGGGACGCTCTGTTTTCCGGTATTTAAAAAAATTGGTGATGCTTTACTTCGTTATGTACGAAAAAAAAAATGTTTTTCAATTCTATATTATCTAAAACATAGAAAGGGAGGCAACAAAATGTATACAACAAAGTAATACAAATTTGTGTTGCTTTTTTGTGTATAAAGGTTCGAAATATGCCGTAACATTGCCTTTATTCTGCTGCTGGTGGGACATATGTGCCTGTTACGTCTTTAAAGAGTTCAAGCAGTCTCTCGGCGCGGGTGGTTGGCGGGTGCTCTGGTGTGGTTTGCTCCTTATTTTCTATCAAATATCTATCGTCCTTTTCTCCCCTCCTTCTTTTTTATGTTTGTTACTCTCTTGTAACACCTCTAATCTTCTGGTGCTCATATGACCGTATGCAGTTGCGAGTGCCGTAAAACCTCCACTAAAACTATACATAGTCTCTCAGCCCTTTTGGCTGGGTCCTATGGGAGAAGGACGTCACATTCGAAGGTCTCGCCTCTTTAATAAACCTATAGTGTTGCTTCGAGTGTTACACCCATAACTCAGGTATCGATTCTAACAATTTTTGTTTTGATTTCTAAGAAGAAAAAAACAAACAATTTCTGTTCTGATTTCTAAAAAGTAAAAAAAAACCCAACTAATATATGTTTTGTTGGCTCCTCCGCGGTAGTCAAAGTTCAAAGACCTGCTCAGATCAAGTGGTTTTGCTGGGGTTCCACAACAGCGGAGAGGCTCATAAACTTGGTCTCCGCGGTGGGAGATTGAGGTTCGCATCATTAACTCTTTGAAGACGCACTGTTTGAGGGTACTTAACCCTTTCAGACCCAGCCATTTTTGTGCACTCCGTAATCCCAGTCCCAATCAATACAGCAGCATTTCAGAAAAAGAGGTGTGCATTCTAAAAAGTGATTTATTGTCTTTGTAATGAGGTTTAGATAATAGCTTATAACAAAGTTTAAGAGTAAATTAACAAATATTATGAAAATTAAAGTTTAATTAAGTTCGCTAATTTCGAAAAATGCACAAATTCTGTATTCCCCGAAACTGAGAATTTACACTCTTGGGATGGTGGGAGGTACAAGCACTGATGACCTAGAGGAGACAGACCCCCACATACTCAGCACGCTAAAAGAAAAGTGTGAGCGGGAGAACGGGGATAAAAAAGTTTTCTCCGAGGTGTGGTCAGGCGTGTCTGAAACCAGCTCCTCATGGAGACAATTAGCAGAAAACCCCCGGGGTGGACACTGGAAAGGAGAGATGAGCAGCTATAGACATGTGCCGCCTGCTATGATTCTAGCTCTGGATCCAATAATTCCAAGTAAAAATTAGGTGCTTTACTTCGTTATTCATGCCATTCTTTTTACAATTCGGTTTTCATTATCTAAAACATGGAAAGGCAGGCAAAAAATGTATACAACAAAATATTGCAAATTTGTGCTACTTATTTGTATATGAGGGTTCGGAATATGCCGTAACATTGCCTTTAGTTTAGTCTGCTGCTGGTTGGACATATGTGTCCTTTACGTCTTTAAAGAGTTAACGATATCTGTTCGCCCTGGGGTCATTTTATACACCCGGGGTTGTATTCTTTACATTTCAGAATACTTCTAGTACGTAGATCTCTTAGAAACTTTCTGTATTTCCCAAAAAATCATTTTGACAGATTGCTATGCAAAGCGTACGGATCGGATTAACGAGTAAATTTCCTCTTTGGAAAGTGGTGGCACAGAGTCCTCCACATCGTATGGATACGATAGTAAAACACGATGTACGGAAAGGGTTAAGTGGTGGCACAGAGTTCCCCACGTCGTATGGATACGATAGTAAAACACGACGTACGGATAGGGTTAAGTGGTGGCACAGAGTTCCCCACGTCGTATGGATACGATAGTAAAACACGACGTACGGATAGGGTAAAGTGAGAAGGTCAGAAGAGCGAATTCTAAGCTGCTCTTGTTGATCACTTCAAATACTTCAACGAGTGCGTACAGAGCTCTGTGGCAGTGAAGCGTACGGGGTTTTATTTTTTTTAAACGTCGATTACCTTTGAGCAGATTTCAGCTTTGCAATCACCTTTTGTTAGATTTGCAGACGTGATTGTAAAATGTGAAACAGTCTTCCGCAGTGAGAGGAGTCAGGGCAGGAAAGGCCAAAATGCAATTTGTGCAACGTTTTATCTTGAATTGTTTAGATCGTTCTGATTTTTCCTTAAAAAGCAGCAGAGTGGACTCACTATTATGAATACAAAATAAATTCACTTTTTCTCTCCAGAGGGGTTGATTGTTTTGGGAGTTTTGCTTTTGTTGTTGCTTTTTTGTTTCCTGCATTTTTCAACTATCGAGTTTGGAGTAGGAAAGAATCGAGCACAAATTATTATGAGGCCAAGCGACGTGTTCGCTCGCTCGGCATCTTAACGAGTACTCGACCGATTAATTAAAGATGGCTCTCATGCACCGGGGATGAATAGGAATGGCGTCTGAATTATTGTTTGTTTGTTCGTTTGTTTGTTTTTCATGTTTTTGTTGTTGGCTTGTTTGGCTTCTTCTTTTTTTTTTCCCCCGCCCGGGAATACTTCTTCTTGACCCAGAATACCGACTGCAGATTACACACGGTCAGCCTTATACGGGGTGCCCACTGGTAACGGATGGGATTGTTCGATCGGACCGATCACCCGACTCGGTCGCCTCAAAAACAAACGTGTTTGCTTTCAGTTTCAGACGACCGAGTCGGGCGATCGGTCCGCCTGATCCAGCCGTAGTGGGCACCCCGTATTAACAGTGACATGAAATCGAATCTGCTCTAACGGCCACCTGTATATGACAATCGACAGGACAAACAACCACTGCCCCATTATCACCCTCGTTAGGGTTTTTTTCAATAAGATACTTACACAGTGTTTTTATTTCGGTTAATGTTTTACGGCGCTCGCAACTGTTTAAGGGCATATATGAGCGTGCGAATGACACTGTGTAAAGCATGCGTGTATATTATGCATGTGTGTATGTGTGTGTCTGTGTATTCGTGTTCGTGTTTGTGTGAGTGTATAATATACACATATTATGTATGTGTGTATGTATGTGTGTACGTGTTTGTGTATATGTATATGTGTGTGTTTGTTTGTTTGTGTGTGTGTGTGTCTGTGTGTTTGTGTATTCGTGTTCGCATTTGTGTGAGTGTATATGTATGTGTGTATGTGTTTGTGTATATTATGTATATATGTGTGTGTTTGTTTGTTTGTGTGTGTGTGTGTTTGTCTGTGTATTCGTGTTCGTGTTGTGTGAGTGTATATGTATGTGTGTATGTATGTGTGTATGTGTTTGTGTATGTGTTTGTGTATATACGTGTGTGTGTGTGTGTGTGTGTGTGTATGTGTGTGTGTGTGTGTGTGTGTGTGTGTGTGTGTGTGTGTGTGTGTGTGTGCGCGCTCGTATTTGTGCTTTAGCTTTCTACTTCTTTTTTGTCCAAAGTATTTGTTTTTAAAAACTCTTATTACACTTACTGCAAGACAATAACAAACATAAACAAGAACGAGGGGAGATCAGGACGATAGAATAGGTTTGATTGGAAAGAAAGAGCAAACCACACCGGAGCATACGCCAACCACCCACTTCATGTCGTCAGACAGAATGATAATTATAAATAATTCGTTCTTCGAGCATACAAAGGTATTGCAACAATCAGAAGTGACCAGTGTTTGAGCACACATTGGCCGGTACTTACCTGAGACCAGAAGATGTAGGAAGACAACACAGACCACCTGTAGCGGGGACTGTACTGGGGCATATGCTGCAAAATGAACAGTGGTTGGGAGTTAATGTTTTAGGTCTTTTTCTTTCTTTTTTTTTAGTAGAGGTTTTACGGCGCTCGCAACTGCATAAGGTCATGTGAGCTCCAGAAGATTAGAGGTGTTACAAGAGAGTAACAAACACAAAAAGAAGGAGGGAAGATAAGGACGATAGATGTTTGATAGGAAAGAAGAAGCAAACCACACCAGAGCACCCGCCAACCACCCACCTTAGGTCTCTACTGACACAATTTAGATCGTTTTAGCGCCATGCTGATCGGCGTGTGTGGTGCAGGGTTTGAGCGCTTTCCGTTGCACGTATAAAATCTGAATTCGATTCCCTAGTGAGTGAATTCTCAACAAGTATTTTCGTCTTTCTGCTAAGACTAAAATATAACAACTAATCCCAAGTTGGGCCGCGTGGCTAGAGTCGAAAGCCACCGCCTTGATAATCTAGATTATGTCGATGGGAGATTAAGAACGCTTACAATGAACATTTTTGAAGCGTATTTGTCGACTACGCTTGTGAAACCGACCAAGACTGATGTAGATATTACGTCATATTTCAGTAGTCAATTCTAGTTTTAATAAGAGTTTTATGGCACTTGCAGCACGATAAGGCCGTATAAGTGTAAAGGATTGGGGGGGGGGGTATTACAAGAGAGCAACAAACATAAACAAGAAAGAGGAGAGATTAGGACGATAGATGTTTGATTGGATGGAAAGAAGGAGCAAACCACACCAGATCAGAGCATCCGCCAACCACCCACTTTAAGTAGTCAGACAGAATGATAATAATAAATAATTCGTTCTTCGATGTCTGACTATAACAAAATTAATGCATCTGCGGAGAAGAATATTACATGTATTTCTCAGGCAGCTTAGAAAAAGTGAAGGTTAAGATGACTTGTTGCTTCCGCTATGGCTTCCGGGACAATTTCTGGAAAAAAGAATGTTTGCCATATTATGTTTTTCAGCATTCAAAAGTTCCACTTCCTCTCGTGAATATGCGCAACTCCCGTGTTTCTCTCTTGGTTTTAGAATCTCTCATCCATAGAGACAGGCGGAAAGAGCTTTTTATTAACCCTTCCAGCCCTATGCGCGTGAATTTTCAGCAGCGCTTGTTGTACCTCTCGCTGTCCCAAGAGTGTATATTCTCAGTTACAGGGGGTACTGAATTTGCGCATTTTTTAAAAACTGGCAAACCTAATTAAACTGTAATTTTCATATGTGTTCATTTACCTTTAAACATTGTTATAAGCTATCATCTATAACTCATTACAAAGATACATCATTTTTAAAAAAAAATTATGCATGCCTCTTTTTCTGAAATATTGCTATATTGGCTGCGACTGTAGTTAGGGAGTGCACAAAAATGGCTGGGGCTGGAAGGGTTAATATCTCCCCCACATGAAAGGCAAATTCAATTTCTTTTGATCAATGGGACAAACTTTTCTGGACAGAGGTCTGTTTTCACAGGAATCACACCACCGTCTCTCCTTCATTTCCTATACCGGGTTTTTTTCTTCTTTGTTTTTAAGCAACAGCAGTGTCTCGAGAAAGTTCTATTCCCCAACAATACTTGCTTCGATCAAAACTGCCAAACTGGAAGACAAATGGCTGTTTCTTCAATTTCATTATTTTGACGAGCGCCTGAGTTCACCACGCTGCCTCACATATGTTCTACAACACGTCTCACATCATTGTCTTTACTATTTAAAAAACTTCCCAGCAACAATGTCTTTAGGAACTGTATCACCATTCCCCCAGTGCCACTGTCTGTGTGAAGATAAAATTGGGCAAAACTATTTTTAGAACTTACAAACTGCACAACACTGTCCTTCTAATCTAACAAAATTTCTCAACAACACTGTTTTCTAGATGCTAACATTCCCCAATAACACTGTTTTCTAGATGTTAACATTCACCAATAACACTGTTTTCTAGATGTTAATATTCCCCAATAACACTGTTTTCTAGATGCTAACATTCACCAATAACACTGTTCTCTAGATGTTAACATTCCCCAACAACACTGTTTTAAAGGGATTAAAATTCATAAACAACTCATTAGAACCCAAACCAACTTGATTGATACCCACAATGGAACTGGCTCTGTCAAGAGAGCAGAGTATTTTCATCATTGTAATACAAGGACTAGGACCGTATTCTAAGGGTAGATATACAATTCGTTACATCAGAATTATTACAAAGTTCTAATCTCTCAATACCAAGTTTTGAGAAATTTGACGTCAAAATGTTTGAGTTTCACCATATTTCAAGCTTTTTCGAATGCAATTCTTTGAATATCTTGATAATGACTCGGGAAAATCTTACGATTTTAATAGAGCAGATGGAACATTTGATTTTTGACCTCATGGTCTTAGTAACTCAAAATGGCCAAAACCATCAAATAGAACTTTGTAAATCTGAGGTAGGGAATTATCTTCTGTAAAAAAAAAAATCATTTCCCTTCTGTGAATATTATAGTTCTCCTTCCGTACGGATGACATTGCATTCTACAAAACATTTCACTCCTGTTTGTATAGCACAGATCTTCCATCTAAAGTAAAATGTGTTCAGTTGTCTTTTGATATTGACGTCTCAAAGGGAAAATATTTTTTAAAATAAAATGTAAAAAAGAAAACACAAGAGGGTATTCCAATGCGTCTCTTCTAAATAACTTTGAGGTATTTGCTTTCAACGATAGAGTTTATAGAATCGATCAGCAATGTCCACAATTCTGAAACAGATAAGATGAACGACATGCTAACTCACATAGACGAACTAGATCTAGCATCACAATGTTTCTATTATCTATTTGTGGTGGCCGAATTTTGCTATTCCAAAGGCTTTTTAATGGCTGCATTGATCGACATGCGGTTTTCGCCACATCATTCTTTAAAAGATTCTCCAAATCATGACGCCCTTCGTTTTTTCAGCTTTGAGACAGTTTTGCTGCTAAAAGCTAAATTTCTTTATTTCGCCGATCGCTTTTGTAGGCCCACGCTTCTGTCTCTGTAATTTTAGAAAATCAGCCAGGTTTGTTTATTTCAAGTCGTACTTCCGTTCGATACTATCGCGCATTGTCGCGCACTACTGAGCACTATTTTAATTGTGCGACCCGTATAGATCTAGCCTCATGTTTTCTTTTTTTACTTGGTGCTTAGGCAACTTGGAAACGCGTGTGTCACCTTTTTCTCAAGATGTATTGCTCCATTCCAGTAGATGTAAATATAGTAGGCCAATGACTTTCAGTTGATGTAAATGCACCGATCATTCCTTTCATCGAAAGGGGGCCCAGCTTGTAGTCATCTATCTTCCGATTCCTGGGTTTGCACGAACCACTTTTGTGAGACACAGCTAGCTAGCATACCGTCAGAAAGATGGAGATACAGGGCAGAATATTATAGTAAGCTCCCATGTGTAGAAATCGAACTCAAGTCTTTTGTGTCCATCCGCGAAAAAGCTGTTGCCTGTTACGCCAATAAGGCTCATTCTGACGTCATATTGTACGTGAATCTTTAAAAAATGTGATTGTATATCATTATTCATATATCTATGCCTCCATCGAAACAACTTAAATCATTTTGGAGGCTGGCTGATTCGACCCTGCCTTCCAATGTCTATCCTAGTCGGAGGAGGATATAAGATACCATTAGGCAGACGAACAGAAATCATCATCATCATCATCCTCATCCAGTGCCAGATCTGCGACAGACATCGGCGATCATGGTTCTCCATTCATTCCTTTGCTCGGATGCTCTTAAAAAAGCCACGTTTCCCTGATATTTACCTGTCACCCATTTGTTCAGGTTCCCCAAGTAGGTTGCTCTGGGCCTACCCTTGCCTTGCTTGTTCTTTTCCATGATTGTTTTTGGGAGATTACAGCAGTGGTTCCCCGTCGCCAACGGACATACTCGACTTAAAAGTTGTAAAAAAATTCACCAACTGAGTGCGACGGCAGAGTCCATAATGCTACACAACAGACACCGGTCGAAAGCGCTTGAATCATACATGTGTGCCAAACGAAATGCATAAACGTGACCTTTGGAACCACATTATCATTCCTAAGAATTGAGCTGAATTTACACTCAGCGTAAAGAGTATCGAAAAGTCCCGTAGAAAATTAGTTATCGTTCATCAGCTCAATTCCTTCATTACATATTTATATGTAAAAGACTGCATTTGAGCTATAAATAGCGGTTCTTACCGAGACACAAAACGGCACAATGGTCGTTTCCACCATCAATCCACCCCACCCTCCATCCCCACCCACACCAAAAAAAAACCCCCAGCATCAAACAAAGAAAGTAATTAAAATAAAACAGTCCTTTCAAAAGAATTCCCTCTCCGAAGAAGCTCAAGAGATAATGGTTGTGAACATTCTGAACATGTATAATTGGTCGCTTTTAAACCGAAGGAGGCTATCCCGAAAAATACTACGGGGTTTTTTTTGGAGAAAATCGAGGGTAAAGTTTTTGCCCCTTATTCAGTTTCTTTAAAAGACAAGGAGAGTTTTCTCTATAACCAAACAAATATACACACCAATTAAACCAAACTTCTCCTATAGGTAGGGCAACGCTCACTTTTGGTGTAGGTCAAGATTTCTGGAAACCCCCGAAACCTGGGTTAGCCCGCTTGCCTTTAAAAGCGACCAATTGTTTTTTAAAAGAAATATCCAAGGTTTTTTTTTGGAAATGACGTGTTCTTACAGCACAGCATGATTGAACAGAAGGCTCGTATGATTGAACAGAAGGCTCGTATAGTATTCCCTTGCACAATTAAGGTCCTGTGTGTGTGTGTGCTCTGTCTCACTGCCTCTGTCGCTTCTTCTCCAGGCGGTGTCGTTTCCGTGGGTGGGTGGCGTTCTCTGGACGCGAGCTCTTAGCGGTGGACGCCAACTCACTCACCTCACGGCTGAACGTGCGTCTGTGAGTGTGAGTGTGAGTGAGACTGTGAGTGTGAGGGGTGGGGTAAGGAGACGTGGGGGAAAAGGTGGCGGGGCTAAAGGGAGGGGGGTGGTGTGGTGTGTAAAGAGGCGTGGTGGGTTGGGTTGGGGTTGTTTTTTGGGGTGGGTGATTTTTTGGTTCTTTGTTCGTGTCTGTTTAATTAAGTTGTTGGTGTGTTTGTGTGTGTGTATGTGTGTGTGTGTGTGTGTG